ATTGCCATAAGGGGTTCAAAATTTCATTAATAACATATGTGTGGATACCATGGCCTTGAGATCATTGATGCATGTGCGTCTGAAGATGACATTGTATGCTGTTGGGCAATCAACCACCAGGAAGTTAATGGTAATGGTAGCTGTATAGGGGCCTGTACCAATGGTGAAAGGTAAGTGTATACTCCCCAAAGGTTGCACGATATCACCGGAAAAGCTTATCAAAAGGGAAATCGAGTGGTCGAGCAGTGTTCAGCTACATTAAGTGCCCTGAAAGCTTCAGCAAACATGATATTGACCAAAGCCCCTATGTATACTAGGATTCATCGTACTTCAAAGTTGGCTATATGAGCTTCCACGATCAGTGGTTCGTTGTGAAGGTAGATGATACCTCTTTCTTCCTCAGGGTAGAAACATATTGGATCCCAGTTAGGCTTTTGATACTTACCTCCCTTGATGTCTTCCACGTGAAACACTTGGTGGCCAGACCTTAAAGCTCGTTCACTATTTTTCATGGCCCTGTTGGAAGATTTAGATATGGGTGTGCCACCACTTATGGAATATATCACATTTACCTGGCGTTGGTTACGGTTACCCCTTTGAGGGTGAAGGAGGAATTGATCAATTTTTCCTTCACGTGCCAAAGCTTCAATATGATCACGAAAGGTGATACACTTCTCGCCGTCATGGCCGTTATGCTCATGGTAGCAGCAAAACGTGCCCGTGTTCTTCGTGGGCTTGTAATCCGGGTGCCTCGGATTTGGCTTCGGTATCAAGTGTGCTATGCTGGGGTAAATGGCCACGCATATGGCATTCAAAGGTGTGTATGCCTCATACCTTGGGGTAGGGGCTGTCCTAACACGTGCTTGACCCACTGTGTTGACTGCCTAAGGTCGGGGATTATCATGGCGATACCCTTGATTATCGCGGTAGTGTCCCTTACTCCTTTTACTAAAATGAGACTGGTGAGGATGAAAATCTTTCCTTTTGCCCTGAGATTGATATGTCTGTTGACTTGGCAAAGTATTAAGTAAGGTAGAGGGAGGCACCGCTGCCGTTTAGAAGGTCGAGATCTTCTCATTTGGTTGGATCTGGTTTCCATTCCCTACTTGCTGATAAGGGGTGGTTGTGGGGGGTTTCCCTTGATATGTCCTTACCTTGGCGGAACATGGTTGTAAACCTATGCCATCACCTCAGAGTAAGTCTTCCAAGTGTTGGCATTGATCATGTACTTGAAGAAACAATCACGTAGGCCTGCCATGAAGGCCTTGAGGGCGGTCTTGTCATCTACCTCAGCTCAGCGAGAATACTCATGGCTGAAACGACCAACATACTCTCGTAATGACTCGTCCGGCTTCTGACGAATAGTGTACAAGTCATCTGCAGAATACAAGCGATCGGTCTGGAAGATGTGTTGAGAGACACACAGTTTCCTCAGTTCGTCAAATGAGTCTACTGTCTCAGGTGGAAGATGGCAATACCAGTTTAGAGCTCCGCCAGAGAGGGTGGAGGGGAAGAGAAGACATCGCTCTTCGTCGGTATGCATCCGATATGCCATGGTGAACTCAAAGAGGTTAAGGTGTTCAATTGGGTCCTCCCTTCTAGTATAGAGTTGTAAACCAAGCTTTTGTTTTGTCTTCGCTTGAAGGAGGGGTGTCAAGGATCCTCCTTGTGAGAGGGCCAGGCCTGGGTTGGTTCCAGTCAGGTATCTCAGCCTGACGTTCGGCCTTCAACTTGTTTACTTCCTCAAAGAGTTGTAGGACAAGGGGATCTTGAGTGGAGTCATGTACCACTGGGATTTTCTTTCGTAAGTCTTCATCGCCTCTTTGAAGTAGGAAAGTTTGAGTAAGGGCGTGTGATTTTTCCTTGGACTTGCCGTACTGACTTCTAGGGCGAGTGTGTCGGAATACCTCAGAGTCTCATGTACCTTCACGTTCCTCTAGGACATGTCGTTCTTTCCCTAGATTGGCAGCTGGCCTGGGTCGTGGAAGGGGACCGAGTCTTTCAGAAACCCTTGGGTCATTGATCTTCGAGCATATGTGGAGGGGATTGTCTCGACGTTGCTTTAGGAAATCTTAGCCGTCACATAAACGGCTTTCGATCATTCCAATCCTTCTGTAAAGAGGTGTCTTCCTCCACTTTTCCTGCTTCGGGTCGAAGTAGTTGGGTTGAGAGAAGTCTCATGTTGATCAATGTTTTGATGATTAGCTCGCTCCTCATCAGGGATACCCATGTCGAAGGAAGGTGACCCTCCGTGTTGGGGGGCACCCAGATGATGGTTGATGTCCACAGAGGCAACAAGCTCGCGTGTTTGAGTACGCATAGTTTCGTGGAGCGTCTCAAAGAGCTTCTCATACTGCTTCTGGAGGACCTCATTCTTCATTGCTATCTTGTTGTTTTGAGCTTCTAGCTCATCGACTTTAGCTTGAAGAGCAACCCTCTTTCCTTCCTTTTTTTGTTGCTTCGCACTAGGTGTAAGATGGATGTCATTCTATGTGTTGTGGCTTCCTTCGCTCCCCATGTTGGAGAGGGATGCCTGGTCAAAAGAGAGTGTACGAATGGTGGAAACCAGCTTGACAAAGCTGAAGAGAGTGGGAATAATTGTCTTTCCCACAAACGGCGCCAAATGTTGATGCACAAAATCAGTGAAGACTTTGGTACAACAAAAAATGTTAAGTTTGTGACCTTCGCTAGATTGCTCCGGTCACTAGTGTGGATAAGTAAGTAAATGGATAGGGACAGGGAAGCAAACACAAGATGTACGTGGTTCACCCAGATTGGCTACGTCCACGGAGTAGAGGAGTTCTCATTAATTGTGAAGGGTTTACACAAGTACATAGGTTCAAGCTCTCCTTTAGTGAGTACTAGTGAATGATTTAGTACAAATGACATTAGGAAATATTCTGAGAGAATGATCTCTATTTATAGAAGAGAGTTTCTAGTTTCATTCTGACATTGACACATGTCGTGTTGTGATTGGCTTCTGATGTTGACACGTGTCGCGCTATGATTGGCTTCTGATGTCAACACGTGTCGCATTGTGATTGGCCTCCTGGTTGGAGGGAAACACTTCTGGGTCCTTGACGGTATAACGTTGACCGATGCTCAGTAGTTTCAGGATTGGTCAATTATGGTACAAACAGATCTAAAAGTCATTTCTGGGTTCATCGTTTTCGGCGCAATTGGTGCTTTTTCAAGATAAAAAAGAGTCTAAGTTTCAAACCTTATGAAACTGAACCAAGAATTAAATACTATTTATAAAACTTCACCAAGAAGTAGAAACTGTTCATGAAACTATTCCAATATGTAGACACTATTTATGAAACTGGACTAATAAGTAGACACTATTATGAAACGAAAACAAGAATTAGGCATTATTTCCAAAACTAAACCAATAGATGGAAATTATATATGAAACTGAACTATACACTATTTATGAAACCAGAGTAAGAACTAGACAATGTTTATGAAATATGACCAACAACTAGGCATTATTTATGAAAGTAGATCAATAACTAGACATTATTTATGAAATTAGACCAAGAAAGAGACATTATTAATGAAACTGTACCAATTGCTATACATTATTTACGAAACTGGACCCAATAACCATGCATTATTTACGAAACATAATCAAGAACTAGACATTATTTATGAAAGTGGACAAAAAACTAGGCACTATTTATGAAATTGGACCAATAAATAATACGGTACCGTCCAGTTTTATAAATAGTGTTCAGTTTCATAAGTAGTGCTCAATTTCATAAACAGTGTTTAGTTTCATAAATAGTGTACAGGTCATGTGCACGCGTCAAGTTTTTTTTTTATAAATTTTTTATTAATCCTGTCATTTTCATTAAAAATTAAGTTTTTTTTTTGTCCTTTTTATTAAAATTTAAGGGGTTTTCATTAAAATTTAATTCATTTTCATTAAATAAAGTTATAACATGATTTTTTTTTATTAAAAGAAACTTAGCCCAAGCCTTTTTCATGAAAGTTTCCAAATGATAATAGCTCCCACTAAGTGCAACACGAGACTTAGGTGTGCTTTCGTTACAGATCTATTTGTTTTATGTTAGTTTACAATTAATCTGTCAATGATCATGTCATATTGGAGGCTGAATGTGTTTATATGTCTGATCGTGTGTAATTCTCTCCAGATCAAATCATGTGATTTCTTATGTTGAGATTAATCACAAGACATTATTTGCTCATATTTGACATCATACCCGAATCTCCATCATACTTGTGCTTGTGGGGCAGAGCTAGTATTTGCAATTTGGGGCAGGTACAAGGTAGGTCTAAAATTTCAAAACACAAAACAGGACGGGATGATGTAGCTTGGGATAATTGGATAGATTTGATGATTAATCAAATCCTATACTCTCTACTGTTGGATGGGAAGTTTTTCCTCAAAGACTTAGACAGATTGAGTCATTCAGTCTCCCCTTCTCCCTTCATTCACAACTTGAGCTGGAGTCGAGTCTTTGACAGCAACGGCAACCATCTATCTACTACCACTATCTCCGACTCCTGACTCTTGACTCCGTCTTCATTTCCCTCTTTTTGGCGAATTGCGAGTTGCGACCACCATGAACAACCACCATTGCCATCGTCTCTTCCATTAAATGAGCACTGTTCACAATGCTTTGAAAAAGAAAAAAACATTTTTTTAGAAGCATGCATGGTAGACACTACTTCTGCTTTTTTGTGCCTTTCTACCCGTCATTGACATCAGTTTTTAAAAAGAAAACACTTTTTTTTTTTACCAACACATTTAATATTCTAGATTTTTTAATAAGGCCATCTCCAACCGACCCGGCCAAAGGGCTATAGGGCTAAAAGACATGAAAACCGTCTCCAACCGAGGGTTAGGCCAAAGGGCTTGTGGACCGCACCCAGCCAAAAATCTCAAAACAGGCCAGAGGGCTGGCCAAGATCAGCCAGCCCTCCTTGTCATCGCCATCATCTTGTTACGCACATATGTGATTTTCAGCTGGGAATGTTTTGCAGGAAGGATGAAGAGTCTTAAGGATTGGATTTCTTCTCGGTTAGTTTCCATGCCCTTGGTTTTGCCTCGGCCATTGTCGGGCAGTGACAATTTCTTTAGAGAGGAATCCTCCAATGAAGAGTTTGATGACCAAGGTAATACTGCCCTTCCGATACTTCATCCATTGTACTTAATGAGTGATTCCTAAGATTGATTGTAAGATGTGCACTTCTTTAGTTTAAGAATTTTGTTTAGTGTAAAAGATACTAAATCCTTAGTTGATGCTAAAAAGTGGAAACCAATATCAATGTACGGGTTGTACATTGTTTGACTATGTGAAGACAGTTCGATGTTTTCTAATTTTCAGGTGCTGCTCACTCGAACACTTTGGTAACACCACGCATCCATCCTGCCCCATCAACCTCATTTAATAGTGATCAGGAAAATCAGTCTGGTCCTTCCCTGCAGCATGTTGTAGTTGAAAATTCTGATCACTCTCATGATCGCTATGGTAAGAAAAAGATGGGTCCTTTGGTAAGAATTGACGATCTTCAAGTTGGCTTGGTCTGTCGCAAAACAATGTTCTGGTGGCTAAGGTTCTTTATCGTATTCACCTGGCTACTTTGATACGAGCAGAAGAATCAGATTTGAAAAGAGTTAATCTCAGCAGTGATAGAGCTATAGCAGTGGCAGCAGAACAATCCTTGGATAAAGTCTTTACCCTGTAGGCAGAATTATGCATTGCTAGTTATCAGTTGTGAGTCTTTTATGTTATTCCTTGGGTTATGAAAAGAAATGAAGAAATATTATGAAAGGAAAATTACAATCCTTGGATACTTTTATTATGCATAGTTATGATCAGTTGTAATAGGAAAATTTGAGAAGCAAGTTATGATCAGTTGTAATAGGAAAATTTGAGAAGCAAACTGATACATTAGGTTAGTTATGACCAAAAGAAGAGAAGGTTGGATATGGTTTTTAAATTTAAGTTGTTGTAGTTTATAAATTAAAATAATAAATTATGTTTGGCCTATGGCCCTCTCGGTTGGAGATAGTTATTTGTCACAGGGCTATGTTTGGCATAAGGCCCTCTTGGTTAGAGATGATTTTTTGTCACAGGGCTATGTTTGGCCTATGACCCTATGACCTCTCGATTAGAGATGGTAAGAAATATGACCTGATAATGTTTATTAAAATATTAATTTCAGTGCTATAGGACTAAAGCGAGTTCTCTGACCCTCCTTCGGTTGGAGATGGCCTAAGCTGCTTTTTTTTAAACGCACATAACTCTAAATTAGCTCTTAGTTGTGAATCATGTTGAAACTAAAAGAACCAATCTAGAACAATATAGTGTAACTAATTTGGTCTTTATTTTGAGATAAAACCAATTAATCCAAAGCATAGGGTGGGGATCCTCCTGGCCGGATTATCTGGGCCATTGAAATTTGATCAAATGGCTACAATAATTATAACTTTTAGAGAGTCCTTCTATTTGTAGCCGTTGAATCAAATTTCAATAGCTCAAATGACCTGGTCAGGAGGATTCCCTCCTTATGCTCAGGGAGGAATCCGGTTCCCCCACCCCCATCATACATTGAACTTGATAACTAGCTACAACCCATGTAGTGCAGGGTGAGTATATATTAAACAAAAATGGAACAAAGTGGAAGGTGCATTGTGAATTGTGATGAGAAGTTGAAGGACAAAAAGCTTCGTTTGTCGCAATTATATTCTTATATAAAGTCAAAAGAGTGGATACCATCTTCTTTATTGCATTTATTGTAGAATTATTAAAGAGATGGGTCATACGGCCCATTTTCAACAACATTGATATTGTCCCCAACTTGGTAATTACCATCTGCATAATCCGTCAGGTGTGAGGTTTTATCACAAAATGCCTCGGTTTTAGTTGGAGTGGGGTTAAAATATTTAAACTCTTCTTTTCTCACGGATACGGTCGATGTGGGATATTTCAACACGCCCTTTCATGTGGGACCCAATTAATGGATCACACATGGGAGATCCACACATCGACACCACGTGGAGCCAAGGGACCCACCATCATCGCACGGGGCTGAGGGGACCCACCCATCACGTGGCAATACAGTACGAGCTCGTTCCCTAGCTTTGATACCATGTATAATTATCAAAGAGACGGGCCATACAGCCCACTTCCAACAACACCGATATTGTCTCCAACTTGGTAATTACCACCGGTACAATTCGTCAGATGTGGGGTTTTATCACAAAAGACCTCGATTTTAGTTGAAGTGCGATTAGAATATTTAAACTCTTTTTTTCTCATTGATACGGTCGATGCGGGACATTTCAATATTTATAGGGCAGGATTAAACTAGCAACTTGGATTGTGACCCCTATTGCTTAATTTAATAAGTAGCATATGAGCACACACTTCGTATGTGTGAATAATTTTATTATTATTATTTATTAAAGAGTGATTAGTTTTTAAAATTTTAATAAAGAGTATGAGACAATGATGATGAGATCGTTTCTCTTACTAAAGACATTTTTTCTTAATGTTACATAATTACTGTTTGTCCTCATTATGTAAATATTGTGCATCAAAAGTGAGAATAAAATAGAAAAAATAAGGATATAATTATCATTTTGTTAAAAGGTACATAATTACTTTTTTGTCCTCATATAACTATTGTGTATCAAAAGTGAGGGTAAAATAGAAAAAATAGGGTAAAAAGGTTGACAAAGAAAACAGTAAATATTGCGTATTAAAAGTGTGAGTAAAAGAGGAAAACTAAGAATATGATTGTCGTTTTCTCAAAATATACATAATTACTGTTTTGTTCTCCTTATGTAAATATTGTGTATCAAAAGTAAGAGTAAAATACCACTTAGTATTACGGTCTAGTGATATTTCTTTTCACTTGTAAATGAGAGGTCTTAGATTTAAATATCGTGAATGATAAATTTGATACCAAATTAAGCTGTTCATTGTATGACTTAGCTCAACTCCCTCTCTCTTAGTGTAAAAATATCGATGCCCTAAAAAAGTGAGAGTAAAAAAGAAAAAATAAGGTAAAAAAGTTGACAAATAGGATTTTCTTAATAATAGTATAGATTAACTTGCATTCTATATATATATATATATATATATATATATATATATATATATATATATATATAATCATAGCCAAAATCACACTTGAGTAGAGTTGCACAACCCAAATTTTTCAAAATATCAGTATTCAAACTATACTTTACATATCATAATATAAGTAGAAGAAATGATTCTTCCGTTTGTTTTAATAAAATTTAGGTAAACTCATAGAACTTAACTTTACACTCAACTTCCACTCTCAAGTGAATTTTCTTTTTTTCTATTGCATAATTATCATCAAATACAACATGAAATTAACAATAAATCTAAAATTTATCAATAAACGCACACACAATAGTTAAACCATACCACCGCGCATTCCGGCCAAAATTCAAAGACGTTCCCATAAAAAAAACAAATTCTTATGATGATTTTAAAACCTTGAATCCTCCATCTAAAGTATAAACCAATTATGTGTTTTTGTATTCACATAATTTGTGCCCGAGAAAAAAAAAAAAAAAAAAAAAAAAAAGAAGCTTCGTAAAGAAGCCTCTTTGGTAACTAAGTAAAATGCATGTGGGGTTCCTCCACCACCAAAACTTGGTTGTATGAATCTGTGAAGAAGACGATAGTAAGACAGAAAAACGGCGGAATGGAAAATTGAGCGTTGCCAGTAAATTGGTCAATGTATAACACTTACTATCCAGATATTTCTCGACTAAGATTTCACTTCTTTATCATTTTACCCCAATAATTATTAACGTAGCGATCATTTCAGATAATAAATTTAAATTTAAAGAGATATTAACCGTTAATAAAAAAATAATAGGGTTATAAAGGGTATGTTGATTGTAGAAAAATGTTATACGACTTAAATTTTTATTATTATTATTATTTTTTGTTTTATTTGTTTATTATAATAAGTGAAATACCGCTTGAAAACTGGCCACGAAAAAACATTCTAATGGCAAATTAAATATTCACATTGGGTTTGACCTTTCTGTACACACGCATTGACAGAAATGCCCTTAACCTGTCCTCACATTCCAACTTAACCAAGCATGGCATCCCGGTCAATCCATTAAAACCAAGGATACTTTGGGGATTAAGAGAGGCGAATTTTTACAAAGTTTTTAAAAAATAAAATAGAAAGTCCAGAAGAAAGCACAAATTAAAAATAAAAATAAAAATAAAAACTTTTCCGTTCCATTTTTTTTGTTAATCCGTGTGAAATTTTCTCACATCACCTGAGATTTAGCGCCCACCGTCACCCGCCATCCCTTCCGTCACCGACGCCAGCTTCTGGAGGTTCAACTTGACAACAGTATCAGCGAAGAGACGCGTGTCCTCCTCGGAATTCCCCTCGGGTACATCGACGACGTAAGATTCCAAAACAACGGTCGAGATCCTCCCGTCACGGTCAAACCCATGCACGGTAGTGACAGACCGGTAATTCCTGAGGCGGTGCTCGCCCCCGATGATACTGAAACCGGTGACCTGGCGGTCTTCCTCGAGTAAGTCGAGGCGCTCGGTGCTGGTGGCAGCCGGTAGCCCTGAGATAACATTGACGTCCCTGGTGCACCCGACGGTCATTTTAAACCCTTCCTCGACGTTACAGCTCCGGATGAAGTGCTTGTAGGCCTGGGGCTGGTCAAAGCGCCGCACCACCGACCACACGGTGTTGGGCGGCGCGTGCACGCGTTGCGCGAGTAGGGAAGAGCATTTTCCGGGGCCCACGTGATACTTGTGGAACTCGTTTACGAAGCTCTTCAACTCGTCGAACTCGTTCTGAGTCAAGCCGGAAGGGAGGATGAGGTGGTGCTGGGTTTCCTCCGCCGCGTCCTGCTCGGCCATTGAGCCCTCGCTTTTCTCCATTCACTCCAGAGAAGATAGAGACAGAGGCAGGGGATGTAGTTTTTTTTTCTCGATGGGGATTTTGTAAGATGATAGGGGCAATAAGGTAAATATAGGGGTTTTCATTAGACTGATAGGGTGAATTTGGGAATAAAAAATAGTTTTTTAAGGGTATAGAAAAGGTGTCAACTTGCTGATGCAGACAGGTGGGTTCTTCTTGGTTGATTGACAGTTCTACCTGGCTGAGCTTCAAGCCGAGCTGATTGCATGCCCACTTGGCATTTTATTTGTTTTCATTACATTTATTATTTAGGGTGATATTATTAAAGAAATTTTAACCAAAAGTTTTCGGTACTGTTTACTTTAACGAAAAATTATATTTTTACATCAAAAATCAATTCGGATACTATTCACTTTACCCTTTATTTTGTCCTTATCGTTAAAACTTAAAATTTTCTAACTATTTTCATTAGTTTTTCTTATATTTAATATCATCACCGTCTTACCGTTTATTATAGCTAAATCCATATAAACATACAAATACAAGAGATTCAAATGTGGTGTACCAAATAGAATAGATGACAATTAATGCCGAAAGTTATGACATATAAAATAGGTGACAAAACGTTTTAAGATTATATAATACTGCGGAAGGGTCATACTATTATTTTTTTCTTTTAAGCATTTGAACATCTAGAAGATACTAATTGAACTTTAGTAGTGTTTCCCTTTCAAAAGTAGTAGAATATGCAAGTATAATGAACCCTATTATTGTTGCCATTGTATAATTTAGTTCTATATACTTTAAAAGCTCGAGAAGTTAAAGCATGCACAAATTTAACTTTCAGACAAAAAAAACCATGGGTGTTGTTGGCATTCAAGACGTATCAGTCGATTAAAACGTTTGAAGATCAAATGGTAGATATTTCACTAAGTTGTTTTAGGTCAATTTTTTTTATAACACACTTGATAAATAGGCCATTGGTGATATTTATGCACTAATTTGAGAAAGAGTGCTAAAGTGAGCCTAACTTAAATTGGACTTATTGTGATTAGGGTTTCTTGCAATCTTATAACTTAACCTTGTATAGTTTACATCGTAATCCTATATATATGCCTCCATATGAATAACAGTAATACAATTTCAGAAATTCACACAAACTTTAATATCTATATATTTTTGTTTCTTGTTCAAGTCTATTGAACTTAGAGCAGCTAACATGAGGTTATTAGTTGCTAATAACTCATGTAAATTTAATAGTATATTTATACATTTACACATAATTGTGGCAAATTGAAATAATGAGTCAAAAACATTGAATAACAGGTTGTTGATTCTTTTGTGCAACCTTTATCGTTTTTCGTAAATTTTCATCTTTCTCTCCTTTATCTTTTTTCTCCATCTCTTTTACTCGACCTTATGATGTGCAACAAGTACTTGATAGAAAGTGTCACTTAATAGTCCATGACAAAAATTGAAAAAACACGGCATAACTCGATATGTACACACTAAAAGTTCGATGAAATGATAGATTGAAGTTTTTTTTCTCGAGAACTTTAACGAAAAATTTTCGGTACTATTCACTTAACAAAAACTTATATTTTTTACACTAAAAAAATCAATCATAATACTTTTTAATTTACCTTTTATTTTATCCTTATTATTAAAACCCAAAATTTTCAAATTACTTTCATTAGTTTTCTTTTTATTTCTTACCAAAATTGTGATCCGTTGTTAAAAAGGCTCTGCCGCTGATTGAACTTGACATGGGATTCCTTAGTTCGGAGAATTTAATATTATTTGGGTGGTGTTGGAGCTTGCGTGGTTCCCTCGTTGGGAAAGTAAACGTCCATCTCATTCCACAGGTAATCCAGCAAAGCAAACCCATTCCTTTTTGTAGTGTTTATCGTCCCCTCCCCTCTCACAAATTCTATTTAAAATTAAAATCGATATGGAAAACCCGATTGGCCATTGCAACTGATGAAAGGATCAAATTATTTGATAAGATTTTTTAGTATAACTGAAACACGAAATGATATATTATGTTTTATTATATAAATAAATGATGAGATATGTGTATTAAAAAAATTAATAATTTAAAAAATATTTTTTTTATTATTGATATAAAAACACATTATAAATATCCGTATTCTAACTACATTAAAAAATTTCTCATTCATATATTCACCAAAACAAGACATGAAGAATCCATCATCAAACCTCCCACTAGCCACGTTTCCCCACGACTTCTTGCTCCCTTCCTTTTTATTTGATTAATCTATTCTTCCCACTTTGGGTTTTGTTGTTCTTGTTTTATTCCTCTTTAGAGAACTAATATGTAAAAGAGTTGGCTAGCTATCAAGGCTCCTATTTGATTGGTGCAATTGTTTAGGTTATTTCCCATTTTTTAAGTTTTAAGAATCTTGTGCAAAATTATAAAAAGGCTATTTTTTAAGATTTCTCAAAAAGTATATAATGATGTATTGATGTTAAAAAATTATAACTTAAATTAAAATAAACTTTAAAATTCACTGATGGTAAATTTACTAATGTCATTGATAACAATTAAAATGAGCTACAAATATAACTTTCACTAAATAATCAAAAGTAATTCAATCTTAAACAACCAAACAAGAAAAAAGCTTCAAAAACTCTAATTTAAAGTTCCACTTAAATTTATAGCATTATTATATACTAAAATTAAAAAAAAAATCGTTTACTAGAGTGTTGTTATTGGTACTCTAAATCTATCATCGTGCACTCTAATTTTTGATATTTAGAAAGAATTATTTTTTTTACACTTATACAGCGTGCACAACAAAATTTTAAAATGCAAATAAAAATAAAGTTTTTTTTTAACAAGTAGCATTATTGCATAAAAATATTAGATGAGAAGTACTAAAGGAGACTCTCTTAAGGGTGAGAATCTCCTTTATAAAAAGAAAAAGTGGGACTTTAAGTTCTTTGTCACCTCATGTTTTTAGCACAATTTTCGTGTTAGCATTATAAAATATTGCGCTAAGGAGAGTCCTACTTTAATAGAACTCCTTAGCATTTTTCATAGGGAAGTGTTATTGGCACTTCAAAAATCTCATTCTGCACTCCTCACAAATGTATTTTTTCTTTTCAAATATAGAAAGTTTGAAGTATAAAATGAGATTTTTTGGAGTGCCGATAACAATTCATTTTTCATATTAGATGACAAATTTTTCTAAGGGCTATGGGCCCTTTGTGATTGCACGTTTCACTCACCAAAGCGGTCTATCCACACACTCCTTTTTACTTCTCACACACTATTTATTAATTTCTGTTCATTGATCTTCTTTAATTATTCGATCCGACAATTGAAAATTAAAAGGGTATGTGAGAAGTAAAAAAGAGTGTGTAGATATCACACTTCTTGTTTTTAAGAACTATTTTTGTCCTTGATTGGTGTTATATGTTCTCACCAGTTAACTATAAATTAGTTCATTAAAGCTAGGCTAAATTCCAAAAAAAAAAAAAAAAAAAAAAAAAGAGAAAAAAAAGGAAGAAGATAGGCTAAATGGCTTTAGAGATGAGTCGAGCCATTTGAGGCTAATGATTATGCAATAGCTGTATTGACGATAATTGTTATTTTAAAATTTTGGTATTCGAATCTTTAGCATGAATTTCCTATCTTCCTGCAGTTCGTGTCTCCAGTATTTGGAGATGGATTGTCTGCTCTTCCCTCCTTATATTCTTTTCGTGCTTTCCTGTTTTGTACGATAATAGTTAAGACATGTCAACATTTACTTTTTATCTTATTGTTTTTATAAAAAAATTAACATAAAATATTAACATGACTTAACTGTGATCGTACAAAATAGGAATGCATATAAAGAGTATGGGAAGGGAGGGCAAACAATCCATCTCCCATCTCTCTAGTATTTTACCCAGAGAAATTGCAAGATTGTTCCCAATGAATTAAAATACCAAACAAAACCTAACTTCAAGATTTGAAAGCACGTGCAGCTCTGCAACTATTATCATTAAGCAGAGGCGGTTGATAGGCAAAGCGAACAAGTCATGCGCTTGGAGAAATATTTAGGGGGCATCCGGCATTTGTGTCAGGTAGTGCTCTCGTTAATAGAAAATTGACACTTAATCATTTTTTTTTCTTTTTAATTAATTAAATTTAGGTGTTAAATTCTCATAAATAAAAAACATCATCCGACACAAATATCGGGAACACCTAAACATTTCTCTGTGCGTTGAGGCTCACTATAGACTAGACCTCATATTTTCATTGTATTCTTGATTAGAAATCTCTTACTATCATAATTTAATATGATGTACCTTAAATTCATATTGTTGTAAAGAATGTATATTAAGATACGAGTTCGGAAGGCCTCACCTTATCTTCCTCTTAGGCCTTAATTTTGCATTAAAATGACTCTGTCATTAAGTTACATTTTATTTATAATGTCATCAGTATTGAGAGGGTGAAATTAGATGCAAGATCAGAATATAAAAATAAATGTTTTTAATCACTTGAGCTATATAATAAATAATGAAGTACTAACTAATACTACTTTCATTGCAGCTGAAAAAGGAAAACTTGAAAAAAAAGAAAGAAGAAGGGAATAATTAAAAGACTTCGTATATATAAGATCAACAACCATTCCTTTGCAAGGAAAAAATGGAAAAAATAAAAGTAAGAAAAAGAAATAGGATTAGAGGAGCAAACTTCAAATATCCAAAAGGTGAAGAGGTTAAAGAAATAGTGAACTAGCTGCCGCCTAATGATTTCACAGATGGCCAATTGGAAGAGATTTTTGTTCTTGCCATTTTTGCTAGATTTTTCATCCTTATCCTATTCCTTTTCCTAATTAGTTGCTGCTGCTGAGTAGGACAGGTACTTGAGGGTTTCTGTCTTGGGTGCTCTCTATCAGGCATTTTCGTGCATGCAATGCAAACAGGCCAAACATTATTCCAAGGTCCCATTTCCACTTAATAAATTCTACACTGGATAGAACTGAAAGAAGTCAAAAAGAAGTGGAATGCATATAGATTGAGGTAGATTAACTGAAACAAAAGTGAAATTTTATATATAAGAGAATACTTTGATGCGA